GTTTATTAAAGATAGTGCCAAGCTAGAGTTGCGACAAAAAGTTCAACGGTACTTTGAAGCTGTTCCGTAGTTTACGTTTAAGAAAAATATGTCGGGCAGATTATTCAATTCACTTCCGAGTGAATTTAATTAATTGGGTATGAAATTCACTCTGAAGTGAATTGCAGAAGCTGTTTGTATATGTTTGTAGATACATATGTATTTATATAACATATTGAAGAAATACAAAAATAAATGTTTTTACAGATGCAAGTTGTTTAATGTTAACCGTTAGATTCGCATGGTATGTAGGACCGGATATGGATCTTCAATTATGCAACAACAAAATGAAGTGATCACAAACGGAATCAACTGTTCATGAATGCATTGTCCACAAGTCCGACCAGTGTTGCTTATTAACCCATTTCAACCTTCAAATTCGATAACATCTATCGACTGCGCGATCCGTTCGGTTTGCCGTTTCTATTGTTTTACTTTGCATTGTTTTAATATGCGCATATTTATATTTAAGTTTATTAGCTAGAAAAGGCCATTCACTTGTTGAAATTCTAATCGCCAGTATCACAATGCAATCGCTTCTTAGCACAGCTAAATTTTTGGGTAAGTAATACCAGAAATTTTTATATGCATTATTTTCTGTCGATTGAACTTTGATTTCTCATATCTCGTATGTTTCCATACCAAAAGGGCGTTCTGGCACCTTGAAAAATCAGGTTTTTCGGCGAATCGCCTGTTTAGCCGCATTGCCAGAAACTCATCAGATGCTCCAGAAGACATGTAGAGATTTCGCTGATTCTGAATTAGTACCACATGCAGCAAAACATGATCGTGAACACTTGTACCCAGAGAAGCAAATAAAAAAAATGGGTGAACTTGGGCTAATGGCTATAGCGATCCCCGAAGAATATGGTTATTAGAAAATTTAATTATTTCGAATTTATTTTTGGTTTATATTCGATACCTTTTTTCCATTAGGTGGTGCCGGTTTGGACTATTTGGCATATAGCATTGCGATTGAGGAAATATCACGAGGCTGCGCATCTGCTGGGGTGATAATGTCTGTGAATAACTCACTTTATTTAGGACCCATCAATCATTACGGGACGCAACAGCAAAAAGAAAATTGGATCGTACATTACACTACTGGTGAAAAGGTCGGTTGCTTTGCATTATCCGAACCCGGCAATGGCTCTGATGCAGGTGCTGCTTCTACTACCGCAGTTGAAAAGAACGATCGCTACATATTAAATGGCACTAAAATGTGGATTACAAATGGCTTTGAAGCAGACGCTGCTGTAGTTTTTGCAACAACCGATAAGTCATTGAAACACAAAGGTATATCCGCTTTTCTCGTACCCAAGGGTATTAGCGGCTATACTATAGGGAAGAAAGAAGACAAATTAGGAATTCGAGCTAGTTCCACATGTCAGCTAATATTTGAAGACTGTGAAATTCCAAAAGAAAATATTTTGGGTAAACCCGGTTATGGTTTTAAAATTGCTATGCAAACATTGGACGCAGGACGTATTGGAATTGCCAGCCAAGCGTTGGGCATTGCGCAAGCTTCGCTAGAACTGGCCGCAGATTATGCGCAGAAACGTACCGCATTTGGCAAGCCTATTGCTAAATATCAAACTATACAGCAAAAGCTGGCTGACATGGCATTAAGAGTGGAATCAGCTCGTTTGCTCACATGGCGTTCTTGTTGGTTGAAGGACAATGGAAAATCGTACACAAAAGAAGCTGCAATGGCTAAGTTAGCAGCTTCCGAGACGGCCACATATTGCGCTCATCAGTGCATTCAAGTGTTGGGGGGTATGGGCTATGTTACTGATATGGCAGGCGAACGTTACTATCGGGATGCGCGTATTACAGAGATATACGAAGGCACGTCCGAAATACAACGTCTTGTCATCGCCGGTCATGTCCTGAAGGAACTATCTGCATAATTTTTAATATCGTCTCATTAATACCTACATACATATATTTAAATTCATTAATATACATACTTTTTTTTTAAATTTATACACACAAATTTACATGATTAATATTTTTAAGGAAATTTTTGGATGAATCGATTAGGCGATAGTCAGTTTAAGATATCGATGGTCCTATGCAATAACGGCACAACTCAAAATTCAAAAAAAACAACACCCTTCTGTTAAGTTCTTACGGCTCTAATCCTAAGTAAGTAGTAAGGATTCCTTAAGTAAGGCGTAAAGATTAGACATGTATTAGACAAGGATTAGAGACATGAGACACCTAACAGTAGAAAGGATTTTTTTTAGTTTTGGGTTGTGCCATTATTGCAGAGGACCACGGATATGTAGTTGATACGAATTTTCTAATTTTCTATGTTACATAATTTGTATTTGAAAACACCTAAATAATAAAAACAATATACACTGCCGGCAAAATGTATTGGCACAGGGAATTTATTACAATATATGCAATAATTCTTATTTTAATTTTTTTCCGATAAATTTTTTGTAAAACAATGGTTCATTCTTCAACAAAAACATACAAATATGATTTCTTAACTATGTGCAAAACTCTAGAAAATTCAATAAATTCGAATGCAAATTTTTAACTTGTTAATCAAATTTTTTAGAATTTTTTGAGTATGCAGATTTGTGACCCAATAAATTTTTTTTAAATAAAGGGCAAGTTTGAAGTAGGGGACTGACCGTTTGGCAGTTTTTTGCACGCAGTTTTTTCATATAAAAAAAAAATTCGTAAATATTATGTATGGAAAAAATGCAAAACACCTTCAACAAACAAAATTTCTCAAAAATCAACGCGATTTTTGACTAACTTCAAACTTGCATTTGTTATACTAGAGTTTAATGGGCTACAAGAAAATTCCAAAATATCGGATTAAAAAGTTTCAAATTTGTATTCACATTTATTGAAATTTATAAAAAATATTCTACCTTATCCTGAGTTTCGCCTGAAAAAAGTTCACCCGAAAATTTATCATCCGCCCATAGTAAAACCGTGGAAACCAAGAGTGAAAAGTGAACCGGTTCGTTGAAAATGAAACTCACGATAAGACTGATTATGTTTCGTTTTATAGAACGAACCATATATTTATAGAAATTAACGGAAAATATTAGAACAAAAATTTTCGCGTATATTGTGAAAAAATTTCTGTGTCAGTACCAAGGTACATTGAACAGGTAGTATCAGTAGAGCAGCTGATTTGATTTATTTTCAAATTATTTGGTCTCGAAAATGTCAAATATTTTTAATTTTTTCTCACGAAAATTATAAGTTGTTAAAATCCATTTGCTTGTGAAACCTTTTTCCATACAAAACAAGCCATTGAATAGCAGCTTTTGGAACGTTCGCCCAACTCGGCAGCACGACCGCTGATTACTGGGCCTTGCAAAGGATGGATCAATGCTTCGAGAAGCAAACAAATTTACTAGGAAAGAAAGTTGCATCAATTTTTATTTTTTCCAATTTCAATTTTTTGTTTTTTATAATTTTTTGTATTTCACATGGCACGCTTTGATTTAGAAGAAAAAATTCAGAACAGTTGTTGACACTTTCGATACCAGAAGCAACAACAAAATACACGCAAATGTTGTTTTTGCTCTACTGATACTACCTGTTTAATGTGCCTTGGTCAGTACTTATTTCCGGCAGTGTATCTATAAAACGGAATCCTAACATGAACCAAAAATACAAGATCACGTAAGAACGCGACGTTGTATTTGTAACTGGTTTTGAGAAAAAAGTTTGCGAAAGCGGGTTCGTCAGTTGAGCGTTTGTTTACATCACAATCACCACTATTTTACACTTTTATTCAAGTAAAGAAGAGTAAATTCAACATGACAACACATTTGAAAGCATTTTGTTGCATCATTTTACCTAAATTGTGCGTTTAAAGTGGCTGACAATAATTTTGGCTAATTTTTGTTTTCGTTGTTTTCTTTACTTTGTTTACTTTTCCCTCGTTTTCCAGTGAAACAAGATGGCGTAGAGCCCGCTAAAAAAATTGACTCACTCGATTTTTCTTACGTGATCTTGTGTCTTTCGTTCATGGAATCCTAAATGAAAATTTAAAGATACTGCGATTTTATTTGGCAACAAAATAGTTCGGAACCAAGAAATTCGATTTTTGTGTTTTGTTGTGAAGAATGAACCATATTTTTATAAAAAGTTAACGGAAATATATTAGAATAAAAATTTAAATCCTCCTAAATAAAAATTTTAAGATACTGCGATGTTATTTGGCAACAAAATAGTTCGGAACTCCCTACACTTTTTAGCAACACTGCCCATTGCAACGGAACCCCAATGTAGAGACAAAATTAAATATTAGCTGAAGGCAAAATGGAATAATTGTGCATCGTCGTGTTTATGTGGGAATTTTGTAAAAAAAAGTAATAAAAGGTGAATATTTATGTGGTTAGATAATCATACTTGGTAGCATATAGAAAAAACGACAAAAGGTGACATAAATAGTTAAAATTAATTGGGGAAAAATGTCCATAAACTGCATTACGAAAGCAACGACAAAAGAAAAATTGCGAAAGCGAAATGGTGAAGAAGAATACAAGTAGTTGCCAGGCTAATTTCTATAATCAAGAATGTTAATTTCTTAAGTGGCGTAAATTTGACATTTGGGATATTCCCAACGGTGTCGTAAGTGTCGTATTGTTGTATGTCGTAAACTTTAAACACCTAAAAAGTATGTTAAAGGGGTTCACAAAGTACCATCAAAGTTATGCATTTTCGCAGTGTTAAATAATAGGTGGTTGTGGTTTCGATTTCTCAAAACATTTATTTTAGCTTTTAAAGTTTGCGACATACGACAATACGATACTTACGACACCGTTGTGAATCCATCACAGGTATAAATTTTCTTGCATATGAAATACTTTTGCATATTTAAACTTAGATTTAAAATTTTCGTGTTTTAAAGTTTCCGAAATCCTTTATTATTTTTTTAAGTAAACAACCCAACTTCATAACCCGCTATGGGTTGTATTGTAGCATACTTTGGGCCTGTTTGAGGCACGTAATAAAAGCGCATTACTGCCGTACTGATGAAAAATGGCAACATTGTTGCAACTACCCAACTGATAATACATTGCTCGAAATTCACACAGAACACTATACTTTAATAGTTCGCGCAACACTGCGGTTGTGATTGCAACTCGAACAAGCCTTTTTTTATAGGCCAAGAGATTCACTACTCAACTACTTGAC